CCACGCGCTCATCACGTGACATCAAATCCCTTTTTGGACAAACGTCTAAAATAAAAACATAGCCTACAACAATACAAAATCAGGTAAAGTTTTAAAAAGATTAATTTTAATAATGGTGAAGATTAGTAAGCCAAACAAAGTTCAAATTGTGTTGGTTATTAGATGGCACGAGAAAAAGTTAATAGTAGATGACGGTATACATGTAAAAAACATTATCAAATATAACAGAAATTGCTTACAGTTCCACTATTTATTCGGTCTTTGCTACTTAAAACAATGTGTAATTATATGTATATACGTACAGTATGTATGTGTAACTATAATTATGCAGCTTTGATAAATACTTATACTACACTAGTATTAATGCGCAATATTGTACGTGATTTTATATAAACTCCAGGTAACACCCCTCAGTGTTAGGAAAAAAAAGTTGTGACAATTACGCTGACGACAAGTGTTTCCACGATATCTTTACTCTTTTGATTTTTTTGACAAATAAAAAACGATAAACAACACAGTTGGGGAGTATTTATTTTTGTTTTCGTGATGCTGACTGTCAGTCTTTATCAATGTACAGATCACATCTTAAACTTGAGTCTAGTTTAAATATGTTTTTGCCCTTGCTTCCCAATGGCTCAGCGTTAAGTTTGAGAACTTATGATGCTAAAATTCGGGATTCGATATCTGCGGGGGGCACAACACATGTAGCCCATTGTGCTTGACAATAAACAAACATGCTTATTTTTTTCATCTTTTTCACAATTAATTTACAAAAATGAATTTCTCATGTTTGCATTATTACATTACATTATATTACATTATTACGCCCCCCAGTGGCACAGTGGTATGTCTGCGGACTTACAACGCTAGAAACCGGGTTTCGATACCCGTGGTGGGCAGAGCACAGATAGCCCTTGTGTAGCTTTGTGCATAATTAAAAACAAGCAAACAAAAAACAAATACATTATTATATTACATTATATTACATTATTACATTACATTATAGTACATTATTACATTACATTATAGTACATTATTACATTACATTATATTACATTATTACATTACATTATAGTACATTATTACATTACATTATATTACATTATTACATTACATTATAATACATTATTACATTACATTATTACATTACATTATTACATTACATTATAATACATTATTACATTACATTATATTACATTATTACATTACAATATAA